ATATATTTTTTATTAAAATCCAATTTTATCCTCACCTCTCTCCCCCTCTTTCTCTCTCCCCTTCTTTTTCCTGTTGGGAGTGCCTTGTCAGCGAGTTTAAGCTAATAAAGCCTTTTTTTTTCTCCTACTTTTGCTAAAATATGCAATGGGTCGACTCACAGACTCTCTGGTTGTTTTCAGAGGCGTAGATCCTTCCCAGCTTCCCTCCTTTTGGGTTATAAGGGTTTGTTTGGAAATTGGTAAATGGTGGATTGTGAACACCCAAATCCAAATGACATCTAAGCATTCCAAGCCATTTCTCTGATCTCTCAATTTTTTTCTCTCCTCTTTACTTGAGGAAGATGAATTAATGGTGTCCACTGTCTACTGTTCTTCTCCTAATTTCTATATAAATTTTCTTGAGATGAAAAAAAAAAGAAATCCACTTTTTTCTGCCTTTTCCTTTCTTCCTCCACTCCTCCTATTTCTTTCCTTCAAATCTTTTCCCCTCAACTACAGTGGAAGAAGGAAGAGAGCAGAATTCAAATTTCAAACAGAAAAACAAGTTCCAGCACAAACCCATAACTAAAAGAAATGACATTAATTCTATGGTAGACATAGACCCGCTAGATAGAGGGAGGTGGACATCAATGAACACATCTCAGAATAAACCATGAAAGGAAAAACTGTTTTTTGAACTGTTCTATATGGATTCTAGACTGCCTAAACTCCAAAAACCAATTAATCCTTTCAATGTGCAAAGAAAAGAAAAAATGATCTACATCAAATTATAAACAATAGAAAACAAAAAAGAAGAAATATGTAAGTGAATAACAATGATGGAAAAAAAGAATGCTTTACACAAGCAGCCAATTATAGTTATAATAACACCTCCAATATAATTCAAATCAAACACCCCCCTCCCAACCAGCTTCCTCCTCCCCTCTTCCTCTTGTATAACAGTTAACAAACACCCCCATTAAATCCCAGAATAAGGATCAAAGAAATAAGTGAAAGGAAAATACAGAACTAGCTCCGGCACCGAGTGATTGGCTTGAGCTCCGGGTTTGCAATGTAGGGATTGGCTTGAGCTCCGGGTTTGCAATTGTAGTAAGATGCACTGCGTCGGAAGTAGGGTACAGTGTTGCGCTACAGGGTTCCGTAGCTGATGTACTGGCTGGTTGCTAGAATGCGGCGGTTGATCTCGGAATTCATTTCGAGCTAGTTACCGCCGGCCATGCATTCCTCCGTGGAGCCTTGGCAGGTCGATCTCATTGGCACTGCAATCATCACGAAAAACCCATAAGAAGTCACCATTGTCCTGTTCAGTTGCAAGCTCTTCCCTCTCCTCTCTCTCTCTCTCTACCTCCCCAGTTAGACCGCCACCGAGAGCCCTTTTCCTTGTTTTATTTTGAAAATTTGAAGAAAAATAAAAGGTAAAATAGTCTTTGTCGTCTTTCTGTTAACGGGCACTAGCGGTAAGGGAAGTATTTGTCAATTGTCAGAAACAGTAAAGGTAGCATTAATCAATTTTCAAATAGTAAAGGCACAATTAGTCAATTAACTAAACCATAAGGGTAGTTTAAAGAATTTACCCTAAATTTTATTCATTCATGGAATTACTACCAAACTTCTCGTATTACCAAATTCAAAATTGAAAGGAAAGCTTCTTGTATTGGTTTAATTTCTATATAATTATATTAATATTTTACATCTTCTCCTTGTTACCAAAAACCTTTCTTTTGTTCTTTCACAAACTGTGAGCTTATGACCTGAATGGGAACAACATTTTTCAATGATTCCCACCTTGATTTCCTACTTTTGTATGCCAATCACTATATAACAACTGTGAAATTAAAGAAGATGAGCAATGCCCAAAGATTTACCTATCCAAAGTTCCAATCTACAGAAAACAGCAACAACTTGTTAACTTGAAAACTAAATAATTGAGAAACAGTGACAATGAAAACAGTGGCATGGTGAGAAACAACTATAATTTACCACCTTGTTTTCCTACTTCAATGTGACTTAAGAAACTAAGATTTTAGATATCAAAAGTTCCAATATATAGAAACAGCAATGACTTGGCAAATTGAGAATTGATAACTAAGAAACAACGACGATGAAAACAACAGCACAACGAGAAATAGTATCGTTAAAGCTAAGAGAAGAAATTTGCTTTAGTGGCAGAACAGAGAGTCGAGAGAAGAAACTAGATTCAATGATCAAAAACCTAACAACTTTCGACCCTCCACTCGACTTGGTGATTGGCGGAATAGAGAATTGAGGGTAGAAACTTTAATGGCTTCATCTTCAATGGTGGAATAGAGAAAAAAAATTCCAAACCCTAACAGTTTTCAATCCTCCCCTCATTTGACGATTGATAAAACGCATTCTATTCTGACTTCCAAGTGTTCTCTCTATCTCAACCCTCCCTTCGACCCAACTGATCCTAATCCTTTATGACCCAATGGGCAGCTCAACCCGACCCCACCCTGACCCTCTTCCACTAACCTTAATGGGTCATTCAACCCATATTAATCCATTCCTAGAAGGATGAGTATTTGTGGGTTTTTAAGCGAGCAGATGGGATTGGGTGGATCAAATGCATGTAATTACAAAAAGTATTTTTAAATTAATCAAAACATATAGTAACAAAAAAAGAAAAATATCAAAAAAGGCAAGTAAATGGCATATTTAATGAAGATAAAGAAAGCTAAAAGACTAAAAGGGAGACAGAGAAATATACCAACCAACAAAGGGATATGTAAATGTACATGACGGATTTGGGATTCAAGAAACGACAGCTGGCTACAACTGGCCATCCAGCTGTCCATTAAGCCACGCGTGAAAATCGGTTACTCTGTAATTCTGTATATATACTCGATCATGTAAGTTAATAAACAACTTTTCACCTTATTTTCAGAAACTCTGTTCGACTCATTTCAAGAACTCTGTTCGACTTTCAATATAGGCCCATGGAGATAAGGAGTAGAAATGGGAGGATTGTCTAAGATTAGAATAACAAAAAAAATTGGGACACATAAGGTTAGGAGGAGTAGAGAAATTAGGAGGGTAATACCCTATTGCTTTGGTTGGATTACAATTCCTTAAATTGTCCCTCTTGTTGAGCCTGTTGCTTTGGTTGGATTGTAAGAGCTGGTGACTCCTCTTATGCTGTGAATGCCTTTATTTTTGTAATTTCTGTTATTTTTCTAATTCTTATAATTTATGTTGTTTTTTTATTATTTTCTTATATTTTTATTTTAGTTAGTCTAGTTTGAATCCAATTAGACCCGAATCCAATTCTTTCCCATTAAAACATATTGGATGTGATATCCGGGGTGGGTCGGATTCAGATCATGTACTAATGAATTTAAATTGGATTGGATCAAATTAGACCAAAACCCGCTCCATTGAATATTGACTGATCAGGTGCAAAATACTTATTCATCAAATATATTAATCTCGTAGGTCTCAAAAGGAAATAACTTGAGCTTGGGGATCTCCAAGGTCTACTCCTTTTTAGGTTTTTGATCTGTTGAATCACCTACACTAATGATGAAGCTTTATTTATGTATAAAAGAAGGGGAATTTATGGTTTGCTCCCACTTACAAATTTGTATTGGTTTTTTGAATGTATTGTTCCAAACCCCTTATGTATGCTGCATTATCCCTCTTGAATTGTGGTAGATTCTCCTATTTGTCACTTTTCCAGCTGTATAAATTTGTAAAAGTTCATGAGGTGGAAGAATTTATTAAAACCTTATCAAAGAATAAAAAATATTACTTACAAAATTTTATACCTTACCTTTTTTTCAGAAAAAATATTAATTAAAAAAAGAAAAGATGGGTTTAGAAAATTTAAGGATGTATTTGATTTGAAAGAAAAGATGGGAAAAACCAAAAAAGAAAGGGATAAGTGGACTTCAATCCACCTCAGAAATCTAAAGTGCAGCCCACTCTTAGTCTACTAGTAGCCCCCCCCTATAAATCGCATCCTGCCCATGAATTTAACATCAATCCACGGGCAGGATTCAGTTCACCTTTAGAAATCCTAGTTCCACCCTAGGGGTGGACTGAACTATAAAAACCCCAAAAAGAAAACACAGCCTCATAGTGTTACGTCATATTGTCATTGCCCGTCCCTTGTCTGGGCCTGTATAAGGTCCAAAACTTTGCGGGCCAGTACTAGGGAAATTTGTAGGTTAAGAAGCTCGGTCTGAACAGCTGGACCCAACCGTAGGTTAAGCACTAAGCCTGGCCCATGAAACCTATAGAATCTGACACACAAGTGAAAGATAATGTGGGTGGGACAGGGTTATTTGTTTTGGAAATGAGGTAAGAAGCAAGACGTTATTTCTGGGGAGAGAATTGCTATAGAAGGAAGATGGTGCAAATTTTGCATCAATTTCTCGAATGAAAATTTTGCATTTTCATCAACTACAAATGAGACAAAAGGTATATAACTATACATTTTGTATCAGGAAGGAATGCAAATTATAACTAAACAAGTAGTTGCAAAACTAAATTAGGGTACAAAATTTGTATCTAATTCGGATTTGCAGTGCATAGAAACAGAGTTAGGTTCTGATAATATGAAGGCATTGGATATGAATTCACCCGAAAGGTCCATCAAGGATCCGAACCTACGTCCAAATTTATTTCCCTATTTAGAATGTGGATTGGCTGGATGATTCCAAACTTCTCGTCGTTCACAATCTCACATCTCAGACTGTCATCCAGGGGAAGATGTATTTACGGCCCATGGGCACATAGCTTTTTCATTTTCGAAGAGCATGAATTTTAGGTCCAGTAATCGCCTAATCGGCGGTGCTTATCTGGGCTAAGCGGGTTCCTTGTTGCATATCCATGGTCAGTTTTTGGTCCGGTTCGGTCCGGTCTGATGTTCGTCACTCGTCAGCCCTACGCGGTGGGTTTGACACGTTAGAGTCAACCCAAAAATGCACGAACCCGGTTCAGAGCTTTCTGCTTGGGATTGGATTTGGAAATTTGGAATACCCAAAACCCCAAAGGCCCAAGTAACTCCTCCATAGTTTGCGCTCATCTCAGTTCAATGGCGGCCGCTTTCGCCGTCGGCTGCGCTCGGTCCGTCCTCCGCTCCTCCACCGTCCGTAATGCAGCGGCAAGAATTGCAACAGAAGCCAAGGCAGCTCGGTCTCCCTGTGGCATCCTTAAGCGCAAACCTCATTCTAATCGCTTCTTCAGGTAGTTAGCATAAATTCATCAATCACTTTTGTTTTACTCTCATTCTGTTTATTATTATGCTTGCGAATCCTTTTCTGAGTAATTGTATAACTAATTCAAAGGTCTCCTGTTGAGATGAGCTTCTGCGTGGAGTCGCTGTTGCCGTATCACACTGCCACTGCTTCTGCATTGCTGACTTCTATGCTGTCTGTCTCTCATCGTCGGGATTACAATTGGCTTTCTGAAGGTATTCCCGATTCAATCTTTTTGTTTTGTTTCGCTAAAGATATATCTCTTGGAGTTTAAATATTATTTTCGGGTAATAAATGGGTATTTTATGTCTGCTTTATGGTCGAAATTTCCTTTTCTGATTTAGTTTGATTACTGGTTTCGCTCGAGAAAATTTCCTGTTTCCTGGACTTTAGTGCTGTATCGGGTTATGCAATGTTTGACAGTGCTCTTATTGTTAGGTCTATTGCATCGCTTAATCAGTAGACCATGTTTCAGTTAGAAGATGTTATGGTAATTCTATGTAATTGGTTGACAACTCGAGCACTTTGAGCTTGTTTGGTTTGGAACTTGATTAAATTTCCCATTTCCAATGACACTGCTGCTAATTCTTCTCAAGCCAAGGCACTCTTGCTAATGCGTTGCCATCCAACATTTTAGATAGTTTGGTTCTGTTCTCGATGAAATTTATGCTGTTTTTTATCCAAAAAAAAGTTTGACATATATGCATTTATCCTTGTAATAGTTGTCAAGGTTTTCTTTAGGCTAGAAAAATTATTTTGTTGACACAATTGTCTTCCTTTAGTTTTCTTCTAAGTAATTTTTTTCTTCCTCTTTTGAGGAAAACCTTATCAAACTCTAACCATTATGAACTCAAATACATGAGTCAATGACTACCCACCCATGTAGGAGCACCTACTGCATGCTAAGATACGGAAATATTGGGTTTCAAATCAAATTACGTGATATAACATTAACTTTTTTGTTTGCCTCTTGTCATGTAGTTTTCCATTGCCCTATTCTGTATTTTGTTTTGATAAGGAATGCATACTCTTCTCCTCTTGTAGGCCAAGATGAAACTAGATGAAGACCAAGCAAGAAAGATGGACTTGGCTTTTTTTGGCCATCAAATGTTGAAAGTAGTAGTGAATGGTATCTTCAATAGATTAGGTGATAGTGCTATTATTTTTCCCCTTTAAGTTTTAAGGATAAAAAAGGTTAAAATGTCTAAGTGGCATCAATGGGATTGATGAGACAAAATAAAATGTCATTGTTTAAGAGATCCTATTTTTTATTTTATATAGTATTCTCCTTACCAGAAATTTTCTGTTATGTTTCATCTTATTTTTCCTTCATGTATAATTGTATACTCACAAGTTACATTAACGAGGATGTATCCAAAGGGACCAAAACCACAAGATCATAATGAAACTTCACCTCTGAATTTAAAGGAAAAAAGGATAAATGGTAAGTTTTCATGTTGGCAATCAAGTCCCCTGAATATGGATGTTGGCAATCAAGTCCCCTGAATATGGATGAATTGGACAAACAAATTTGTCCAAATCACATTCTAAATCTCTAGTAGTATTAACTTGTCATGCATGAGTAGCTTGGTGTTAATTTCATCTAGCAATGTTTTCAATACGGACTTGCACTAGATCATGTCTTTAGAAGTCATCCTTCATTTTATCCTAGTGGCGTTCTACCTCTTTTTGTAAAATATTCATACAATTTCATGAAAAAAAGGAAAGTGCATTGATATTCAAAAGAGCATAAGAGCCTAGAACACAAAGGCCAATGGGCTATGTCGAATAAAAGAAAGATTTCTGAGCACTCTTCCTTTTTATTGTTAGACAGTTTTGTATGCCCTTAGCTTCAATCAGAATGATGTACTTTATGAGTTTATTGTAAATGAATAAAAGTGCATATTTGATTCATGTTC